GCCGAGCCGGGCCTGGCCCAGCGGGCAGAGGAGTCCGACGACGGCGGGGGCTTCGGGACTTGGCCTGAGTGGGACAGAGCCGGTCCGGGCAGAAGGCTGGGCCGCGTGGCGGGGCCAGGGAAGAAGCGGAGCCGAGCGTGGGTGGGGCGTGGCCGTGGGCGTGGCCTCGAGGGGTGGGCGTGGCCTCGAGGGAGTGGGCGGGGAGGGGAGAGGCCTCGCTGCGCGAGTGGGAGCGGTTTGAGGGCACAGGCTGAGGAGGCTGGGCTGGCTCCGCGTCGGGGGAGGCAGTGGAAGCCGCTTTGGTGATCGCAGGCCTATGGGCGGCGGGGCTCGGTTCTGATTTCTCGTCCCTCAGCTGTTAAACGAGCACAGCCCGGGCTGGGGGGTAGTTACAAGCCATGGAGCTGACTCCAGGGGGCGCGCACGCGGGGGGGGGCCCCTATACGCATGTAGGCAAACCCACTTTGCAGGTGGGGCGGCTCTGGGGGCCTTTCTGAAAGTGATGGGGGTGGGAGGCAGCGCTGACACTGGATCCAGTGTCCGAAGCGCGAGGGGAGGGCTACCTTAGTGTCCACCCTGTGGTGGGGGAAATGCTGGAGCTACACTTTCCGTATTTTCACTTTTAGGAATCCTGAGTGTGAAAATGAGGACGGGGGCCCCGGGCAGTGTCCGCCTCTCTCCCCCTACCCTGGAGGTGTCTTCTTCAGGTCCAGCCTGAAACGACCAAGTACCAGTGTCCGACTGTCCTCCTGTCGCTTCTCTCTGCCTGGGGCTGGAACTCTAGAGCACCAGCATCACCCAGGAGCAGATCCAGGGTGAACGAATGAGTGGTGGGAGTGATCTGAACCCCTCCCCCTGGAGCGGCAAACTCCCTTTCATATTTGGAAGCCAGGTCTGGACACCTACTGGACACGGAGAGGGGCCGCCAGGCGGGCATTCCCTCAACAAAACATTTATCCAGCACCTACCAGCAGTAATGTGAATGGGCCTATGGGGGAGGGGGCTCGGCACCTTCTGGGTGAGATCTCAGGCAGGCAGAGGAAGCGAAGCCCTCCCCAACTGCCCAGCTGTCCTCTGGGAGAGGACAGACACCACGCAGAAGCAGTAATGGGTGGGCTCGTCCCATCAGCTCTCCCCAGCCCCCTTGCGCTCCAGCACCTGGACTGCGCTCCTCAGCATCTCTGCTCCAGGCGGCATTTCTTTCCCCCTAGAATTATTCCTTTATTGTGAGGTTTTTATTTGTGTAGAACTGGAGTACAGGCCAGAGATGCAGGGTGGGGGAGCACAGCAGGCTGGAACTATTCTGAGCAGTCAAGCCAACCCCCTGGCCACTGGTCCACCACTGCAGCACCCCAAGTGGCCTGAAACCCTGGGGCTCAGCAGCACCCAGCCCCAGGGCAGGCGGCAAGCCGGAGGGGCTGGCCTGTGAGGCGCACAGGCCCCGAGCTCACCGGGAACTGCGGCCTCTGCAGTGGGTGGCCTCGCCTGGCAACAAGAATACAGCAGAGGCGCGATCTAAAATCCATACAAACATTTATTCTGTCCCAGCCCAGGGGTGCAGGAAGGGGTGCGGGAACTGGGGCTCTGACGGGAAGGCTGTTCCCAGAGGCTCCGGGAGCCGGTGGAGGGTGGGGCTGGCTGGGCTCGAGGTCAGGGAGGCCAAGTGGGCTGGGGGCAGCCGGTTCCCACCCTCCCGGGCCGAGCTGGAATCTTGGGTCCTGGCGGCTGTGGAGGCCTGGGCTGGACCGCCCCAGCCCACCCACACCCCTGGGAGGTGGGGACTCAGCACCAGGGTCTGGCTCCTTTGGGACGGGGGAAGACAACTGTGCAAGTCATCAGGTTTAAATTAAAAATAATAAAAATAACAATACAAAATAACAAAAGACTACCCCTGTCAAACGAACCCGCGCCAAGCCCGCCCTGCTGCCCCTGCCCCTGGGCACAGCGGAGGCAGAACAGGAGGCCGAGCCGCCTGGGACACAAGCAGGGTCTCCAGGACAGGGGGCTGCGGGCAAGGGGTGGGGCCAGGGCAGGGCTTCGGCGGGGCTGGGCTCCAGGGTTGGTCTCGGGTCTGCTCTCTCTTGATGCTGGCTCGTCCCACGCTCAGTTCCCGTGTCTCGCTTGGCGATGTGGACAGGGTTAGCTCTCGAGATTTATTGCACTGTTTTGGAAGAGGCCTGGGGTAGAGGACGGGCCGGGGCTGCAGGAGAGGCGGCGGCAGCAGGTCACCGCTTGGTCTTGGCGTCTTCGCGGATCTTCCAGACAACCAGGTGCATGCAGGCGCTGGCATCCTCGCTGGAGCTGTGCCCGTCCACTGTGGGCAGGTGGCGGGGTAGCCATGGTCAGGTGGGCTGCCCCAGGGCTGCCCCAGCGTCCCACCGCCTGCCGAGCTACTCACCGTTATCCTGGATGATCTGTCTGAGGTAGTCGGCCATAAGATTCCGCAGGGAGCGCTTGTAGGGGAGGCCCAAGCGGTGCGGGAAGAGCACAGATGTGTCCACCACAGTGCTGTGGATGACCTGGGGGGGGGGTGCGGGGGCGGGAATCAGGACCTAGACATGCTGGCTTGCTTCCCCAGGAGGTCTCTGGGAGGCTCAGGTTGGGAAGGTGACAGGGCTCTGGAAGGTTCCAGACAGAGACGCATGGAGTGCCTAGGAAGTGACCCCCCTCTTCCTGGCAGGCTGGGTGCACCTGGCCCAAGACAGCCAACGCCAGGCAGACTGCCCACTGAGAACCTGAGAAGGCAGGGCAGCGGGATACCTTCAAGGCCAGCAGGTCACTTTCCAGACTGTGTCCAATAAGGATGGTGTCAGCACTGAACATGCTCAGCAGGACAGCCTGGACATCTCGCAGCGAGATGCTCGTGTCAGCGAGGTCTGCCTCCGTCACCCCTGAAAACCTGGGGCAGGAGAAGCCAGGGTTCTTAGGGCCTCTGGGCGGGACAGCAGGGGTCCCTAACGTGGGAGCAGCGCAGGGGTCTGACCCAGCATCCTGGCGCCCCGAGGGCTGGCGCACCTGGTGTTGTAGTCCACGATCTCATTGTCTGGCTTGACGAAGGTGTCGTAAACCACCTGCATGTCTGTGTCCACCACTGTGACACGCGTTAGCTCGAGGCCGTATGTGGTGTAGGACTGCGGGGACAAGAGGACACCTCAGCCACGGACGCCCTGCCTGGGACCACAGGCCCTCCAAGGCCAGAGTCCAGGATGGGGGGCCCCCGGGCCCCAAGCTCTGGCGATGCTCCAGTCCAGCACCCTGCCCCAAACCCACACACAGCCCCGAGCGCCTCAAAGTCCTGGTCCCCGGGAAGCCCAGGCAACTGGCCGTGGGGAAGCATCGTGCTGAGGCCTGAGAGTAGCAGCAGCACGAAGCCCTCGGAGCAGATGCTGACGGGCTGTGACGCCGGCCCCGGCACGCAGACAGAGGCCACCTGCGAGGGACGCAGCTGCTGTTTGCTCCTTAGCCTACAGCCGGCGCCACCTCAAGTTTTGGGCAGATGAGCCCTCAAGTCTCACTGAGCCGCAAGCTGTCTGCAGCGTGGGCCCAGAGCTCACCATTTCACAGTCAAGGGCGTAGATCCCTGGGTGAGCATCTTCAGAGAGTTCTTTATCAAAGGTCTTCACAAACCCTTCGAGGTTTTCCTTCCGGCCGTCCTGCACGTGTTGCTGAGGGTGGGAGGGGAGAAAGTGTGAGGTGGCACAAGGGGCGGATCCCAGGAGCCGCGGGGCTCAGGCTTACGGGGCCAGGCCAGTGGGTGGCTTTCACAGCCCGTCTTACTCCTTCCCCCAAGGTGACCTGATAAATCAAAGGACAGGGAGGTGGTTCAGGGGATTGGGGCGGTGGCACGGCTGCACCCCAACTTAGCCTGAGTCAGGACGGGGATGGGAGCGTGCTGTGAAGAGGCAGGGGAGGGCGCCACAGGCACGGGGCAGGAGCCGGGCTGGGAGACCTACCTTGGCAACCTGGCAGCCGGTGGAGCCGACGGCGGCCGAGCAGCACATGTACTGAGTCTCCCAGCCACCAGCCACTAAGAAGGGACAGCGGTCAGTGGCGGCCCCACCCACATCACTCGAAGTAGTTGCTAATGCCCTCGTGTGCGCAGGGGCTTCCAGCAGGGGGAACCCAGCCCTGGATCGAGGGGCGGCCCCAGTGGGTTTAACTAAACCACCATCTTGAGATGGGGCCAGCCTCCTGACTCAGCGCAGGCCCTGCCCAGACGGGCGGGCAGGAGCCGCCCACGCGGGACCCCGGCGCACCAGGGCAGACCCAGAGGCGGCCAGGCAGGCGGCCGCAGGGAGCGGGGCCCACGCAAGGCTTCCAGGGAAGCACTGCTGTCTGCGATTAGATGAAACAAGCAGCTGCGGGGCGGACACTCTTTGTTCCCCTGGGTGCAACCGCCCGCCTGCCTATCTGTGCAAGCGCTCCCACTTGAATCAAGGTCATGGGCGGCCTGAGGCCAGAGGGGGGCACTCCTTTCAGCTTGCTGGAACAGCGTTGCGGAAGTACTCTGATCACAAGTGTCCTGAACAACACAAGTCACAGAAAGAACACTAGAAAGGGCTCGGCGTGGGGCCTGTGAGACCCTCACTCTGGCGAGCTGGCCCCAGGGGCCTGGGGTCTGAACAGGAGGGCAAGCGCCCCGTTAAGGCTCACCTCGGTTCCGGCGGAGCCGCCCCCAGTGATAGTAGCATTCCTCCTCCCGCACACAGCGGCCCGAGGAGGACACAAGGTACTCAGTGCCACACCGGCAGCAGATCCTGCAGGAGGCTGGGGGGGGGGGGGGGGGATGGTGGACAGGAGCGCAAACACCAGAGCTTGAGCCCCATCCCAGCTCTGCCCACTGCCCACCTAAGTCCCCTCTACCCAGAGCCCCTTCCCTGGCCTACCTCTCCCCAGCCCTCTCCCCGCTCAGGTGCCGCAGTGCAGACGCTACTTACAGTCCTTGGGCCTCTTCTCCTCTGCGGTGAAAATGACAGCACCCCCGGGCCGCTCAGGGTGGGGGAAGGGAAAGCCGTTCTCCTTGAGCTGGCCCTCACTGAGCAGGTACTCCTTCAGGCGGCCATACAGGGCAGCCCCTGGGGACAGCGGGATGGTGTGGGGAGATCAAGGAGGCCGCACGCCCCCAGGCAGCTGGGTCAGGACAGTGGAGGGGCTCGAGCTCACCTTTCAGATCCTCCACACGGGGGCTGTTTGGACGACTGAGGGAAAAGCTGGTTTTGGCGGCCAATTTGCCCCCCAAAACCATTTCATGGGACACCACCCTCTGGCCACTGGTTTCTGGGGAAGGAGGGAGGGAGGGAGGGTGAATTAGGCTGATTCAAAAACCTTCTCCCTCCCGACTGCCCTCTTCCTGCCGACCCATCCATCGGTAGAGGCCACACACGTTTCTGTGGGGGCCAGCAGGTCTTCAGCTGGCGAGAAGGCCCTCTCCCCCAGGGCGGCACCCTTGGAAGTTTAACGCTTTATCAAGGGTCTCAGAAGCACCCAGAAGACACAGATGGAGGGACGAGGCAAGAACGGGCCTGGTTAATGCACCTTCACAGGCGTAATGAAATGTCCCCCCAGAGCTTAATGCACACAGCAGGTCGGCTGGAGCCTCTCGCTTTGAAGAGGCCGCGGCAGTCCCATTAGCAGCGGCTCTTGAGCTCAAGAGACCCCGGCGTGGCTAAGGAGAGTGGTTAATGGCAAGAAAAGGCTGTTCCCAGGGCAGGGCCAGCTCCATCTCAGACAGAAGCCTGCCCACCCCGTGCTTTCCTGCAACGGCCTTTTGTCTGAGAACCTCACCTCCCTCGGAACTGCAAAAAGGCCTCAGCAAGGCCCCACCCACCTTGTTCCTGCAGCCTGAAGGGCCCACAGGCTAAGTCTCTCCAGAAGCATTGTCCAGGCCCCCCAGGGACTTACTGTTGACACCAGGCACTGCGCTGGGGACCAGGCCCCGCAGCTTTTTCAGGGTGTTCACAGCCACGTTCAGGTAGATGTTCTTGCTGGGGCTGCGGTCGTAGGCCACCTTCTCCTCATTGAGCGCCTAGGCACAGACATGCCGCTTAGTCCTACGGCCTGGGCCCAGAGCCTGCCCCAGGCCCTGAAAGGGTTCACCCACCTTCTCTATGGCCTCCTGGTTGGAGGAGCAGAACTTGAGGCATTCCTCAATAAAAAGGTTGAGATAGCGCTGGCGAATGACAGTGGGGACTTTGCCCCCGAACTCCTTTGGAATAATGGGCTTCTTTAAACTCTGGAGAGGACAGAGAAGCAGCACGGGGTGGCAGGCTCGCTCAGGACCCACAGGACACGTACAAGACAGACCCTGCTGGCATCTGGTTCGTGACTACAAGGCGGGCAGCCACGGGCCCTCAGTGCCCACACACGCCGACAGTGTTAACAGGGAGCATGGTGAGGGGCGCTCTGCTCCGGCGAGCTGGGTGCTGGCTAAGAAGGAAGTCTACTCATGAACAAAACCACCAGAGGGCGGAATTCCGGAGAGGGACGAAAAGAAAGGCCCAGCTGCAGGGGCCGAGGCGCCGGTTACCTGGAGAGACGGGCTGTGAGCAACGCGTTTGGGAGTGACGGTGGTGGTGGTCTTGGATGCCATGCCCGACAACGTGCGCGTCTTCAGGGGCTGGCCGCCTGGCTCGGGACCATTAGGAGACTGGCTGCTGCTGGCCGAGAGGGTCCTCTTGGCACCTGTTGGGGCTGGCGGGACACAGGGGACATGAGTGCAGGAGGAGAGCGCGCCCATCACCGAGCTGCAGAGCACCAAGCAGCCCCGGCCGTTCAGCGTGAGCAGGACGTGCATCTCAGAGCACAGGGGGAAGGGCCGGGGTCTGGAACGCGGGCTGTGGAATGACATTAGGCTCTATCTGCTTTCTGCAAGTCCATCGAGGGGGGGAGAAACAAAAACGGGGCTTCAGAGGCCGGCTCAGGCAACGTCGCCGCTGGGGTGGTCCGGCGAGTGGCAAGGTACGTGGGGAGCCCCTGCCACATGTTCCAGCCCCCGACTCCGAGGCATTGACGTCTGAGGGAGGAAAGGCCCTGGCTCCTGGACTGCGGACCAGAGGTCTGGGGTGCCCCGGCCAGGCCATTGTGACCAGCCGCCAGCCAGGCCCTGCCTCTGTGTTCTGCCTCTCCCTTTGATGAGGTCACAACTGAGCAGTCTCCCACCCCCAGAGGGCCATGGCTGTGGGGCTATCTTCAGGGGCTCCAGGAGCAGCAGCAGGTGGACTGCAGGGCAGGAGGTGTGGCTGGGGCGCCCTGTCTAGCTCTGGCCCCCCTAGCCCTGCAAAAGAGGAGGCGGGGAGAGGACTGCTCCCTGGCCCCGGCCCGCACTACGGCCTGTTCTGCCAAAGGCTGGCCTCTCGGCCACACGGGACAGGAGTCAGCGGCCACCAGCCTTGACATACAGCCCTCCCCAGAAACCTGCACTTTCAAGTGGCGGAAGGTCAGCATCCGGGCACTCAAAGGCGAGAAGCAGCAACAGGCCCTCGCACTGCTGGGAAGCACCACCGCGGCTGGCAGGGCCACGGGTACGCGGGGCCGATCAGAGCGTGTCCCACGCGCAGACAGCACGTGGATGGCCCCAAGTGCAGGCCGCAGGCTTGGGGAGTGTGTGTCTCAGGCCCACCCAGCCCACCGGAACCCACTGGAACCTTCCCACACTCTTCACCTACCCGCTGGGCTCCCACTCAAATGCTAAGGAGGGAGGGACCAGAATCCAAAGATTCTTCCTAAAGGTTGCAACACCCAGGAGGAACAGGGCCGGGCTGCAGACGCCTGTGTAGGCAGGATCAGGAGCCCTTTCACTCCAATCCAGCAGCAAGGCCACTCATACCCAAGGAGCAGACCGTCAGGTGACTCGGGCCTGCTTGCCGTCACAGCTCCAGACATGCCAGCTAGAAACACACCCCTGGATGTCCCAACCAGTCCGGACTGCTGAGGTGCCAAGAACTTCAGACAAAGCCAAGAGCCCCTCAGACTGGGATGAGGAGGAAATGTAGCCCTCACCCCAAGCCCAGCCCAGGTGGTTCAATCAAGTAAGTCAGCGCCTCCCCACTCACACCTCATTAACACCCTCCTAAGTGCCCCCCCACATGGGCAGAAGCGTGGCACCACCCTCTGAGCACCCTGAGGCCAGCTCCTGGCACCTCCATCTCAAGCCTGGTGCCCTCTCAGCCCACAACTCCCACCCCAGGAGCCTCTGGAGGCCAGGACACTAAAAACAGGCTAAGGGACGTAGGGGTGGGAAGACATCCCTCAGGCATCCAGCACTCAGCCCCCTACTACCAGGGGAAGGGCAGGGCACCACCACTGCCCCGACAGTAGGGGAGATTTCGGTGCCCGTCTTACACAGCACTCTGAGGACCGTGGCAGGACCCTGCTCAAGGTCACCCCTGGCACCAGGGAGCTGGCATGGGCTCTGAACCCTACAGAGAGCACACAGGCGGACTCACCTGCAGCCAGGCGGGGGTTGGGGACGTGGGCAATCCTCCTCTTCTCACCAGGGGCCAAGATGTGGACAGAGGGTGGCTTCTCAGCTGACCGCTGGGCAGCTGGCAGCCAGTTCGTCGATTCCCTCTGTGCCTGCTGGGCCCGCCGGTAGCACACTTCCTGGGCAGTGGGGAGCCGAGCAGCAGGCGCCGGGCCTTTCCTCGCAGGCTCTGCCTGGGTGAGGAGAAACCCGGGGCCTCTGTAGTCAGGCGCTCCAGGGCTGACAGCAGGACTACAGGCAGGGTGGCGGGCCAGGGGCGCTGGGTAACCTTTTAACCTTTTTTACAGGCTTACAGATACCTCAGCCGGAGCCAGTGGGCTCAACAGGCTTCAGAGTCAAGGTACGTGTAGGCCCCAGGGTGCTCGTGGGACACTGCTCTCCCAAGGTGGCATGCCCCAGCTGTGCCCCAAGTCACAAGCTGTGCCCAAAGGCGGGTGGCAAAGACCTTGGGGCCCTGACTAAAGTGGCCCGCCAATCTAGACCCACAGGCCTAGTGTCTCTGGATGACAGCAGCTGAGTTCCCAGCCTTCCTCCCGGGAAGGGTCCTCCCAGTGCCCGAATCAGCCCAAGGCCCAGAGGCTCTGCTGGCAGCCCGGTCCTCGGGCCCCGCTCCCTGTGCTCAGACGCTGACCACCCTACAGTGATCCAGAAAATGGTCCTGGGTCCCAGTGACAGAGCAGGAAAGTGAGGCCACTTGCCCAGGATCAGACTGCACGCAGCAGAGGCGCAGGCCTGTGGGAGGCAGGGTGACCAGCTGGAGGACTGCCACTCACGGCCAGCTCTCAGCGCCTGGACACCTGAGGCTGGGGTGTGGCCATGCATTTCTGTGCCAGGATGCAGGGGGCACCAGAACAAGGAACCCCTGCCAAAAGAACCCATCAGTCTGCAGACAGGCCATTCTCCCTCCTGACAGTCCCTACCCGGGGGGACCCATACCTCCTTGCCTTGCTTGGAGAGATGAGAAATCCTCCTCTTCTGCCCAGGGAAGAGGGTGGTCAGACCTGTATGCCCTTTATCCTTGCTCTGCTCCTCCTTGGGGGGCTGAAAGAGAGTGGGCCCTCAGCATGGCTCTGCCCCCACCTTCGCCATCCCTCCGCCCAGGCCTTGGGCAGTGGCAGCATGGAGGGTGTCAGATGCAAGTCCCAGACTCTGAGACAGAGTCGGATGGGAAAGTGGTAGGTCGAAGGGAGGGTGTTTCAGTGTCAGGAGATGCCAGAAGGTCCCATCTACCCCCAGGGGGCGCTGCTGAAATACCCAGCGCCCCAAGTCAGTCAAGCCCCCAGCACCTCAGGTCCCAGCCAGCCTCCCAGGCTCCCAGGCCTCTTGAAGGGGCATTCTGCAGCTATGCCAACCCCCATGCTCACCACCTTCCCTGGCAGAGCAGTCCCAGCCTTTCACAGGGCAGGGAATAACCCCAAGGCCGACAGAGTGAGGCACTAAGGCGCCAAAGACCCCGGGGTCTGCCAGCCACAGAAGCTGCAGCTTTCGGGGTAGGACACCGGCTTGTCCAACTTTGCTTAAAGTGAGCTCCCTCTGGTGGCTGATATGGGAACATCAGACGAGGGGACCCACAAAGGTTGGAGTTGGTGGGGTGCTTCTGGAGAAAGAGGGGGGATGGGGAAGGAGAGAAGAGGGAGGGGCTGAATAGAGAGAGGGAAGAGGGCCTGGACTGGAGAGGAGGCTCCAGGTCAGAGGAGAGAGGCCAGGAGAGAGGAGTGGCTGGAGTGGGCCCTGAGGGGGGCAGGGTAGAGGGAGGTGAGGGAGGAGAGGGCAGCGAGGTGGCAGCAGCCAGGTACCCCTTAGCTGGCTGGCTGGCCTCAGAAGGCTGTGGCAGGACCCTGCCAGTGGGTCATAAGCCAGGGTCCTCTTTCTGGATGGGGTGCAGGGGACAGCAGGTGGCCACTGAGGGTTCATACAAGGCCCCGTCGCTGTGGTGACCCAGTCACAGGAACATGGGGGGAATGAAGCGCTCCGGGGCCTGACCTGCCCGCCCAGCACAGCGCCGCTCTCACCTGTCGGGCCAGCCGGCCCCTGTCCTCCGTCTTGACGCTGGTAGACTCGTTGAAAATGCGCAGGCACTCCTCCATGGGGTCGGAGTCAAAGTCGATCTCCTTCTCCAGGGCCGAGTAGTCCACCTCCGCCCCCGCCCCCGCCCCGCAGGAGGAGGAGGAGGACAAGGAGGGGGAGGCTGAGGCGGGCAAGGGGGGCGGGGAGGCCTTGAGCTGCTTGGGCGGCCCCCGCTTGGCAGAGAGGCCCAGGCTAGAGTCTGAGTCTGAGTCTGAGCTGGAACTAAGAGTGGGGAGGGCGGGGGGCTGCAGCCGGGGCTCTGGGGGCCCAGGGTTCTCATCCTCACTCTCATCTCCGAAGAGATCAGCATGGCTCAGGGCCCGTCTCTTCAGCTTGGGGGTGTCCTGAGAGGCGCCCTCGTCCAGTGAGCGGGCCTTGCGCTCCACCAGCTTCCCAGTCAGGGTCTTCTCACCTGCCCTGTCTGGCAGCTGGTGGGGAGTGGGCCGTGAGTCCTGAGGCCGGGTGCCCCCACGCACAGGGCTTGGCTGCGGTTGGTCGGGCGACCCTTTCCCTGAGCTGGCCACAGGGGTGGCCACAGATGGCTTTTTCTTGGTCCCTCTGGGCTGCTCTGCCTTGTGCCGGGGGCTGCCAGCCTGCGGGCCCCGGCTGTCAGCACTGGGCTTCTCCGGCCGCCTCCCACGTTCTGAGTCCTTGGCCCTGTCTTTCTTCTGGACACCATCCCTGTGGCTCCTCTTCTTCTTAGGCCTCCCTTCCTTGGGGCTGTGGTGGTCCTGGGAGGCCCTGGCTGGGGAGCAGGCCTTGGCCCCTCCAGGGCAGGGGGGCAGCTGCCCAAGGTCTCCCCCATCGCACTGCACTGCTGTCTCCTTGGTCTCCCTCAGGCCGCCCTCTTCGGGTTCTGGGCCCTCCCTGGAGCCTGACTTCCTGGGGACCTTACTTGCAGTGGCAGCCCGGGCGTTAGGGGGGCTGGCGGCGGCAGGCCTGTCACGGGGAGCTGCAGGGGTGGTGTCATCGTCTGAGTCTGAGAACCTAGCGTCACAGCCGCCGAAAGGGTCACAAGCCTTCTTCAGCACGGGTGTGTAGGGCTCGCTGCCACGGGAGTCCCGGGGCCGCTTGGAGGCCCGGTCATCCTTGGAGCTGGCCCTACTGAGCAGCCGGGCAGAGAAGTTGGACAGCGGGTCGTACTCCAGGTCCGTGGACGGCTTGGAGTCATCCACCACATACTTGCCGCTGGGGATGGGGCGACCGTACCGCCGGGGCTGGCTCACGGCCTTGGGGACGTACTCGAGGGTGCCACTGCCCCCTCCACCGTGCCCCTGACTCCGGTCCAGTGAGTACTTGCTGCCTGGCTCGGCGGGGGCGGCCAGCGGGGTGGGCTGGTAGCTGGCATTGGGGCTCAAGAGGCCCCGGCTGCTGGGGTTGTAGTCAAAGGACAGTGGGAAGGCCCCCTCGTCCAGGCGGGCGGTGGGGCAGGCGGCAGGGCCACGGGGCGAGAGGGTGGGTGCCTCAGCCGAGCCGCGCTCTCGCGCTGTCTCCAAGAGCTCCTGGTAGCGCCGCTGCTCCAGCTCCACCTCGGAACGCACAGCCTCGATGGCCTGATTGACCAGCTCGAGCTCCAAGATGTCTGAGTGAGGCTCATCCCCGCTGTCCAAGGTGCCATTCTCTCTCTGCGGCGGGGGCTTGGGCAGCTCTGGGTTGTACGGGTCATAGCCAAGCCCTAAAATGGGAGGAGGGAGAAACAAGGTGAGCAGAGGAGGCCTCTGCCCATCCCAGCCAAGACCAGAGCACAGGGAGGGGCCCAGAACCAGGCTTCCAGATACTTCCATTCCCAGGCCTCCAGCAGACTCCAAGGTGTCAAGTTTCAGAAACACCCCTCCGCGAGGGGGCTCAGAAGTGGCCACCCCGGTCTGAAGACATAATGACCATAATGACTGGGGCCTCTCCAGGAAAAGGGGTGCAATGCCTGGTCATTCCCACGAAGTCAGTCCCCACTAGAGTGGCACATGATGCCTGCAGCTGGGCTCAACACAGCCTACCCAGCACCACCCACTATCCTGGAATAGCACCGGGTGGCCAGGACACACCCATTCAACGGCCCTACTGAGACTCCCATGTGATGCTCTAAGGGGAACAAGGCAGAACACCACCCAGGGTGTGACTCCCCCACGGCTCAGGGCCGGCCCTACGCCCTACGCTTTCACCTGGCTGCAGGGCGTATTCTAGAGGCCAGCACCACCCAACTCCGCCAATGCCAGCGCTCACTTGTGGAGAGGTGCTGACATTCTAAATAAAGCCTGAGTAAAGTTCAGTGTTCCAAAGAGGTAACAGAGAATACACCAGAATTTAAGAGCTCACTGTCGGAAATTCCCTGGGCCGTAACTGTAACGCCTGCTGAGGACACTGAGGATGCTGCCACGCTGTGGCAGGAGCTCGCAGAGGACCCAGCCTAACCACCCCAGGTGGGACCCCGACCTCCAAGGCTGCAGAGTGGACACCCCTTTATGGCGCTTGTGACAGCAGCCCCAGGGAGTTCTGGCAGCAGCAGTGAGAAAGTGCAGCGGAGAGGCCGGGCCTTGGCCTACAGCCAGGGAGGGAAGGGAGAGGGCTAACTGCAGGCTTGTTGTCTTACTTTTAACCTGGAGCCTTTTATTAAAATTGTATTTGGAAAAGAGAAAGGCGGTCTGACCTATACTTCAGGGCAGTGGGGACATCCCAGGACAATGGGTGGTAGCGGGGGGATAAAAAATCACACCAACGACACTAGGGGCAAAAGGCACAATGAGGCAAACAATCTCTCCGTCCCTCCGCTGAGGCAGCCGGAGGACGAAGGCTGCCCGGCCCCTCTTCCCAGCGAGGTGCAGAGTGAAGGGGCACTCCAGATGGAGGGTGGACTAGACTCCTCTACGCCCGCTACACCCACCAGCCACCTGAACAGAGGTGCCAAGGTCCCCATCCACGCACCCACCCCAATTTCCAGCTGATGGCTGAGTGGAAAAGCCAGGCCATGCCAGGCGGCGAAGGGGCGCTCACTGAACAGAGCCAGCAGCGGGGAGGCACTGGTCTCCAAGGGCCTCCAACCCCACCTGCCCCGCGCCAAGGGCCCAAAACCTGCCAGTGGGAAAATGCAGAGCCATAGGCACAAAGCAGCCCAGCCAGAAATAACCCCTGAGCCCTCTGGGGGGTTAGAGGGTCTAATGGGGTCACAGGTCAGGGGCTTTCTCCCCTTCCTCTGCTTACAAGTGGGGTAGGGAAGCGTTCCCTCAGACTCAGACCCCCAGGTCTGCTTGCTGAAGATTGTGCATGCTTCACCCCCTCTCGGGCACCCCAACCCTCAGATGGGAAACGCTAGCGCTCATAAGACTCCGGCTGGGATTCCAGCCCCTCAAGGCTATTTCCTGCCCCAAGTGGAAGGCACCTCCTGATCCCTCCCACCCCAAGAAACCTGTCCTAGGTGGGCCTGAGTCAAGGCCAAGTACTGCCCTGGGGCCCCAGCTCTCCCACAGGTACTAAGGGGCTCTAGACAGGTAAGGGAGCCCTGGCACAGGTGCCAGCTTCCTGTATGTGGCCCCAGCTCAGCCCCTGACAGGAGACATGCTCCCGCATGGTTACCTGAAGTTCTGGCGGGATGAAGAGGGGCAAGTGCCGTTGGTCCTGGGCACCACCCAGCCGAGTCTCACCTCAGACCACGCCACCTTGCCGCCACCCCCACCCCAGCTCAGTGGGCTGGGTCCCTCTAGGGGACAAGTTCCCCAAGAAATTGCTTTGCAAGTTGCCCAGTATTCAGGGGGCCCTGCCCACAGACTTAGGGGAGCTCATCCGAGTTGGCTGGATGGAGAAGCCTTGGCAGCCCAAGGGCCACGGGCTCTGGGAAGGCCTCGAGAGGCCGGTGAAGGAGTCGGTATCGGCCAATGCCTCCCTCTGGGAACGCCTGCACCTGGTAAACAAGGTTAATTGGGCTGTTTTTCGGCAAAGGGAGCACACCTCGGGATGCCTGGAATAGCCCCCAAAGGCTGGGTTCTTGTCCCCACTCCAGGAAAAGGCAAGTCTTTCTAGCAATATCCACGCGGGACACCTGCCTGGTGGTCACAGGAGGGCTGTGGCTTGGAGACGCCCCTCGCCACGTCAGGAAGCAGTCCAGGAGAGGCCCCTTCCCTGGCAGCCATGGAGCCTGCCTCAACCACAGGCAGCTCTCCCAGGGGCTGGCTCCCTCCCCTCCCAGCTCAGGCCTGCACGCATGTGCAGCCCCAGCTTCCAGAACACAATACAAAAACCCGCAGGAGCCAGGGCCAGCGATGCGGCAGGACCTTGGTGGAGTCCCCCCATGGAACAAAAGACGCTGATGGGATAGTGCCCGTTCTGAGGCCATTCCCAATCCCTCTGGACTGTCTCCCGCCCAGCACCATCCTTCCCAGCTCCCACATGCCTGTTCCCCCCCCCCCCAGGAAACACTTCCTGCTGCCCATGAAAGCAATAACTACGGAGAATGACATCAAGCATTAAGACTCATTGGGGAGATACGTGACATGCTCCCTGAACTCGGACTCCTCCTCGCTTAATGCTTTTGGCCACCCTGACCCGTCAGCCATTTCACAGAGGGGACTAAGTCAGCAGCTCCCGAAGGCTAACAGGTCTCTGCTGCGCTCTCCACTGCGACAGGGACACAGTGGCCCAGCCCCCCTGAAGAATCAGCCTCCGTGCCTGCCACCCCCTCTTCCTGCTCTGCCCAAGGTCCCAGCAGGGTAAGCACAGGCTGCAGTGTGTCCACCCCCGCTCCTGATAAGAGCTCAGCAGGGACATGCTCCTGTACCTCAGGTGCTGGTCACAGCCTGCTGACCCCATGCGGGGGTAGCAGGGACAGCAGGAGGCAGACAGTGTCCCTCCTGCATAAGATAAGCTGGGACACAGGGCTAGTCTCAGTGGGGGGGAGGGGGGTGCTGGGAGAGAGGGGAAGAATTAAGAAGCCTTGAAACCTTGAAGGTGGACAAATATTCTGGCAGGCAGTGACCACGGGCTCACCAGCCACAAGCGGTCCTGACTGGGCTCAATGCAGGATGGGAGGTAGCTGTGGCTCCCAGAATAGAAACACCCCCCCATTCTGGGCTCTTCTGGGAAGTTTTATCTGAGAGCACCCCAAGGGCCACCTTGGAGGCAATAGCCCCCTGAAGCCCTCACAGGGGCTCTGGCTGTCACAGCCATTCCTCTGGCCCCAGATTCCGCTCCCGAGCTCTCCCCCCCCCCACCTGGGGGCTACACTCCTGAGGAGCCAATTCATAGACCCCAATTCTCCATGCTGGGGGTACCCTCAGCCCCACTCCTGGATATGTCACCTGCCAGACAGATCAAGAACTAACGCCTGGAGTAAAGGCACCCGACCATTAGTTCCAGGAGTACCCCATACTCGGAGGAGGACCAACCAGGTGCGGGTGTTCTGTGGCGCACCACTCGCCAGGGGTCAGACTTCTGTTAAAGCTGTACAAAGGAGCAAAGTCTCGGTTCCTCCTTGGCCTCCAGGGGTAATAAAAGGTCCAGACAGACCTGGGTCTAGGACCCAACTCTCCCCACACCCCCGAAAGCCACCTGGACATCTATCCCATGTGCTGACTAACCCCCTCCCCGCCATTCCCAGTTTCAGGCTGCCCCGCAAACACCTATAGCTGACGGGGCCCAGGGCCATCACCTCAACACAAGCTCAGCTACTCTTCCAAACCACAGGCAACTGAGCGAAGTAGGGTACACACATCGCGGGGGAGACGGAAAGACCAGGCCGAAGGAGTTCCTGGGGGCTGTGGAGGTGGCATTTTCTGTTCTTGCAGTCCACAGTGAGCATAAAGCACACGCGCTCCGGACACTGCCACACAGGCCCCCTCCTGACCCACACTTCCAGTTCCCCACACCATCTCCAGTGGGTGCTTCTGGGGTCGCCTTTCTACACAGCGCGGTTTCCCGACAGCCTCGAGCGCGAGGTTAGTGCAGCAGCATCCTCCAGGGACACCAGTCTGAGAGATGGCGCGTGGACATTCTCACAGGTGTCCCAGGACATGGATCCCAGGCGAGGGGCAGCAGCTTCACCCCTGAGAAAGAGCCGCACAACCGGGTCACTCTGGAGCGTCAGCACGTTTATTGCATGACACCACAAGCAGGTGCCGGGGAGACAGAGCCGGCTCTTCAAATCCTCCCAGGCCTGCTCCAGCCACTGCCAGACTGTGATGTCCAGTCATCCAGCGGGCAGGGACCGGCCTGGGCTCCAGGACGCAGGGACAATCCTCGTGCCTTATCACCCAATGTGCCTGAAGGGAAGCTGCCCCGGGCCCAGGACATGCCCTCCAGTCACCATCCAGGCCCTGCCCCCTCAGGCTCCCAGCTCAACATACCCGGCTCATCTCTGCATCCTGGCCTTGACCCGGAGTTGGCTGGTACAAGAATCTGCAAAGGTTAAGGAGGGCGGGGGGTGGGAGGAGAAGGGAGGGAGGAGAGATCCTAACCCCAGGTCATGGGATGGCAATGCATTGCGCGCATCCACTATTCAGACCAGGGTCTCTGTGGTGCCGGGAGGAGAGTCCCTCAGGACCGCTCCCAGCAGGCACACGGGATGGTCACCTGCGAGACCACAGCAGGGCTCCGAGGGCCTGTGGGAGGGGACGAGCCACAAGCCAGCGTGCTGGCAGCACCACGGCAGCCTCCCCTCCCAGAGCAGGGCCCAGGCCTGCCACTGCCTGG